ACTAAAGATCAAATGTATCATGAGAGGACGAAGCACATTGATATAAAGTATCATTTCATGCGATAAACCATTGTTGAAATAAAAGTCTTTATTCAGAAGATCAACACTAGAGACAATCCTGCTGACATGTTCATAAAACCTCTTCCAGTGTCCAAGTTCAAGCTTTGCCTGAACTTGATTGGCATTTATGAAGAATGATTTTGCCCATTGGGGTTTTTGCGGAGAAGGTGGAGCAAATTTACTATATATAAGCCGAAATTAGGCCAAGGTGGAGATTTGTAATATGGCCAACTTTTCATGACATTTGCCATGACAGAATATCCATTATAACAAATTTGTGGATCATGACATTTGCCATGACATAATATTCATTATTAGGCCAAGGATTTCTTGCTATAAATAGAGGAGTTTCTCCTCATTTGAAAACACACCAATTCAAGAGCTTTTCACACTCGTCTTTTTTTCTCCTCCTTTATTTCATTATAGAGTATTTTGTAAGAGAGTGAGTGTTGGAAAATATTTGTGTGAACCCTTTCTTTGGAGTGATCTTGTTAGGTTATTCTCTTGGGGTATTTGGGATTAATTAGAGTATTTACTCTAATTTTTTACTCTCTTTTGTACTCTTGTTGGTATAGTGAAATTGCTCATCTGCGCTTGTGGACATATGTCACCTTGACCGAACCACGTTAAATTTATATCTTCTTTATCTACTTTAATTGTCGTTGTTATCAACTTCCATTGTCTTTGTTATTGTCATTATACCGTTGTTTGGCTAAATTCCGCACTACCCGGGTTCCCGATCCTATCATAGACTCTGTAGTTTATCATTGTTTACGAAATTGGTTCCAGAACAGGCTTCAAATCATGGTGTAAACTGTTTTCTTAACAGCTTAAATTAAGCTTAAATGAGTTTTTAGTGCTGGTCAATAAAAGCTCATGTGGCTAGGTATTTTCTTTATATTATTAGCAAATCCTTTATCCAGTTGAGGCCGCTCAACTCAATTATTTAACTAGCCCTAGGAGAGTGCTCAAGCTTCAGTTGAGTATTGACAAAAGTTTGAAACTGAGCTTTAGCTACTTGTTGACTAATCAATCCCAAAGAAGCTTCAACCGAGTCAATCTCCAGCCAAATATCTAGCAACTTGATTTTCTTCTTACAACCCTACCTACTGCTTCAAGTACTTGGAGGCTGGTTTGACTCTGCACTTTTCTCGCTTTAGATTCTCCCCGGCATTTGGTTAACTGTAGAGGAAACAACTTCAGTTTGGTGTGAGATTTCTTCTAGTTTTATACTGTATAGTCTCTTTGTCTACGAAGACTTTTAACATAGACGCTTTTTTCCTAGTTGGACAATCTTTTCGGCAATCATGTTATGATAGTAAGGTGGATTTATTCCTTTATCTATAATCAGGAGAATAAAACAGTACCTTGGAATAGGCTCACACAAAACAATATAACATATGTTGAACGTAGGACCTACAAAAAGATAGTAGATTTGGATCGTATATGGTCTAATAAATTAGCATCTTTATCTTGATTTCCAATGTGATGAAAGGTTTACGTGTAGAATTTTAAGGATCATGATACAACTCCTTGATTTTTCTTAAGTTTTTGGTTTTCCTTCTTCATAAGTCTTTTCTTTGTTTCCTACTTCCCACATCGCCACCATCTCTTTATCTCATATAAAGTGTTAAAATATATATTAATTTCTTTTGCTCATTGACAATTTCTTGAATTTAGCAACTGTTATCATTGCTGTTGGTCATACTTATGGTAGAGAAAACATTCATGATAATCACTTATTGAAAAGGTTTGATTCATAATTAAAAAACTTTCCACATTCCAGAGACAGGGCTTTCGGGTTCCAGTGCTATTGTAACTGCTGCATTGAATTGCCTTATTGGCTTTTATGAAGTCAGACATCTTATCAAAGTTGAGGTAAGGCCAAACCTGGTCCTTAATGCAGAGAAATAACTTGGAATTGTAGCTGGTCTGCAGGATAGGGTGGCACAGACATATGGAGGCCTCGTATACATGGTATAAGTGAAGACTAATAGAAACATGGTTTTAATGTTGCTATAGTCTGCATGATCAGTTGTTACCTTTTGCAGGATTTTAGCAAGAATCACATGGATGAATTTGGTCATGGCATACATACACCCATGGATATTGCTCTTCTCCGGCCTCTTTACCTCATCTACGCTGAGAATCCCAGCGATTCTGAAAAGGTCTGTACCGTTTACACCTTTGAGTCATTGTTTACTTTTAACTCTGCATTCAATTTAAGCTATTGAACTATATTTGACATGATACAAGAGGTTAAGGACGGGAACTTGAAGAGGGGACAGTTTAGGTTGTAGAGGACCCTCTATTTTCAGCATCATGGTCACCTCTTGTATTTTCCACTAATTTGTTAAGCAATTTTGATGATGGAAGGCGTAATTGCTGCAATAGATTTATAGGTGAACATGAATATCACTATTTCTGGGCATTAATTGATAAAGCATTTCTCTAATCCAGGTCCATAGTACAGTTCAACAGAGATGGTTAGCAGGTGATGAGTTCATTATTTCAACCATGGAAGAGGTTGCAAACATAGCTGTAGAAGGACAAAAAAGCGCTGCTTGAGAAGGACTATGCTAAGCTAGCAACCCTCATGAATCATAATTTTGATCTAAGAAGGTAAAACATATGGCAACTTTCTATGATCGATTGGAAGTTTTTTATTAGTTAACCAACTAGGTGAGATCGAGGCTTAGTCATTGTTACACTTACATTAACCTGCATAGGAATAAGTGTAACATTTAAGAACCTCCAGTTTTAGAGAACTCCTAATGTGCCTTGAGACGTAGTTAATTGATTGATGCCTTTTCTGCATCTTCTATTGCAAAACTCACTGTAATTAAATGTTGTTTTGTATTGTCAAAGATAGAGTTGGTATACTCAAATGAATTGCTGAAATTCAATATATGAATGATGTAGGCGTATGTTTGATGACGATGCCCTTGGAGCTGTGAATGTAGAGATGGTTGAGGTGGCTCGAAGGATAGGTGCTGCATCAAAGTTCACAGGAAGCGGTGGGGCTGTGGTTGTATTCTGTCCAGATGGGCCTTCACAAGTGAAGCAACTCAAGGATGCATGCCAAGAAGCTGGTTTTGTTTGTGAGCCAATTAAGGTCATGCCTTCGTTTTTAAATGATATTGATCTTCAAACTCTGGCTTCAAAGTGAAAATGGTGGCAGGTTCTCCAATTTTGGACCAGTTATTTTCTTTCATTTTGTAGTGCACGCACACTACTAATACAAAGCATCATTTGTTTCCTGTAAAAGAATATCTTGAGGATTTATGCATCTATATATGCAACTTGAATAGTCCGATCCATTGAAAATATAAGCGAGATCAACTTTGTACTTTTCCGTCTGCTCCCAGTGTGTTTAATTGGTCATCTTTTCTGAAGGTTATTACTCGGGGATGGTTGTTTTAAACTTGAGGGATGACAGGAACGAAGAGGAAAAATAGATCTTTAAAAAGAGAACTATGCTGTTAAAATCAAACATAAAAAGAGAACTTACAGAAGGTATATACACATTCTCAAAGCAGGTGCAACAATAGTATTGCGAAATGCAAGAACTTCTAATTACAACTCTATGGTCATGCCTCACGGATATCTCTCTTATCATAAAATCTCATGATCCTTTATTTGTCTTTCATCCCCTCGAATAAGTAAAATCTTGCTCTTTCTAATTAAAAGAAAAGGGGGCAAAGCGCGATATCTTTCTAAACTGTCAATTAAGACTAACCCACATTTCGATTATGAGTAGAAATCCATCCCTGAATAAAAGAGGGACAGAACTTGCATGGCTGAATCTATGGAGGAGTAACTCGACTACCAGTACCAAAATAACGGTCTCCAAATTCACCCATACCAGGAATCACGTGGAGGTCCTTGTTAAGAGTTGTGTCAATCTCTGATGTTACAATCTTCAATCTTGGGAATTTGTTGCATACAGCATGTAATCCCTCGGGGGCCTGCATGATTAATTAAGTAATATGTTCAAAACTATCTGACACAAAATACTCCCTCTGGTCCAAATACTCGTCATTTTGGCAACTAAATTTGTGTCAAACTACTTCCGTTTTAGAAAAACAAAGAAGTCATATTACTGATATAATTAATGGATTGTTAATTAAGTGAGATGTTTAAAGTGAGGCAAAGGGTAGTTTGGAACAAATACTCTTATGATTAATGCTACTAAACGTCTTTCTTAAGGGGTGTTCAAAAATCATAAAAGACAGAAGGACTGGAAGAAGTACAATGGTAAACTATCTGAAACAAAATACTATGGGTTTTGACTTTTGCAATTGTTGAATACGATTACTCACTGATATCAGGTTTAAGAAAATGATGTTAGACTCTGGTACACCTTTGCTAAGAAGCACAGAAATAGCTTTCACTGCAGAATTCCCTGGACAGTAATTAACAATTCATTGATTAGTAGACAAAGTTATTCAGGAATTTATTGATTGACGGAAAGCAAAGCATTTCCAACCTGTAGCTAGTACTGGATCAAGCAGCAAAACATGGCGACTTGCAATATCTTTTGGTAGCTTCTCGTAGATCAACTGTAATGTTGCTGGGATCGGTAAGAAACTGCATTTTTCTATATGTCCTGCTATTAAGCTCTTTGTTGTTGGAGATTTTAAAAGTGCAAGTCAAAGTACAAGTGTGAATGAGGAGAAATTGTCTGTATGGATTGGAAACAACTCTTTCAACCACTTTATAAAGGCGTGCTTTGTTTTCTGGACAAAATAGAATTCATATTATAAAGGTGCTTAGCAATTACTCCATTTAAAAGATGATGACTTCTTTTAAAGAAAATAACCTTGCTATCTTGCTTTAAAGCTTTGAGGTTTATTTAGAACTCGACTTCAGTCTTCAAGTCCAAACAAAAGGTTGCGCAGTTAATAACAAAACTAACTTTTTATTTGTTTAAAATTCGAGATATTTACATTATAGTACTAATAGATACAATGTCTTAATTTGGAGGCATGTCTACCACGAATAGGCATACAGTCAAACCTCTCTATAACAGTCTCGTTTGTTCCGAATATTTTTGGATGTTATAGCGAAGTGCTGTTATAGAGCATATATTATAACATAACATGAAAACTGGTTCCGGAAAAGCTTGGTTTTTATAGTGAAGTGTTGTTATATAAGGATATTGTTATATAGAGGTCTGACTGTACTTGTTGTTATATAAGGATGTTGTTATATAGAGGTCTGACTGTACTTATTGTTATATAAGGATATTGTTATATAGAGGTCTGACTGTACTTATTGTTATATAAGGATATTATTATACAGAGGTCTGACTGTACTTGTTTGACTTATAAAGGCATGTTATGAGAGCAGAAAACAGACAACACATGATACAGAAACCTGATGCAACAATTTACTCTTCTCCGCCGCTCTTAAATGTATAGATCACCCTACATTTTATTATTTGACTACATTTCTTTATTGCTCTTGGTGAATGTGCAGATACAGTCAAACATCTCTGTAACAACCTCGTTTGTTCCGAATATTTTTGGATGTTATAGCAAAGTGTTGTTATAGAGAGCATATATTATAACATAACATGAAAATTGGTTCCGGAAAAGCTTGGCTTTTATAGTGAAGTGTTGTTATATAAGGATGTTGTTATAGAGATGTCTGACTGTATCTAATGATGCATAATGCAGTCAGATTTTTGGCTTTATTGTTTTCCCTAGAATGATATTGGCGGAATTCTTTTTGCAGATCAACTTTTTTACAGGTACATTTTCTCTTGTTCTGGGGATTTTGAGAACAACGAGGACGGGGGAATGAGAAAATGCAATTAAACTTGAATTTGGTTGACTGACCTGCCTGCCACTTTTACCCTCCCTGTGGATTAAAATTTTGCCGATTTTGATTCCCTTGCAGCAAGCCCTCAATGCATTTTCCATGCTTTCTCCACTGATCCAAGGTAACCATGTCAACTTTCAGTTTCAATTACTGATGTTTATTACTACTACAATGGAAGATGTACTTAAATGACAGGCTACACTCTTGAGAACTGGTGTGTAACATGAAACAGAATTCTTAATTGTATGCTGGAAATTCTACCCATACTATAATAGAAATAATGAATACCTTCTAATGATCGACACTCCACACAAGCTTTTACAGAAAACGACACCACTGTAAACAGATCCTGCAAAAGAGGGAAAGACAATTTTTTCAGCAGATTCCTATGAGTTTAAGTTTTGTACACCATAGTGCATAGGGTTTTTCATCTATAACAACATGTAACTCTGTATAGCAAGCCTAATATGATAACCTAGAAAATAAAATCATAACCTGCTGTATCCGGCTATTTACACGGTTTAATATTGTAATATGGCCAAATTTTTATGACATTTGTCATGACATAATATCCATTATAACAAATTTGTG